GCCTGCAACGGTGCAACTTGTTGCAACCCTTAACCCTTGCCTCGGGCGTCTCCGCTGGTGCTGCTTCCCAGTCAAAAAGCCTCAGCCGCAGGCTGGTTCAAAGAAACAGCCCGATGCAAAAAACAACCCTAGCCTTTCAATGGTCCTTCATAATGAATCCGTCAAACTTTGGAGGCCAAACTTGGAATCCCCACAAAGGAACAGTTCATGCACGCTCTTAAACCTGCAACTTGTTTCACCGAACCGTCTTCCTCTCAGGATCGCCAGTCTCGAACTGGACACATGCAGAATATGGCCATACGGAGCTGGAGTCTAAAGGCCACGAATCCAAGGAGCCAAACTTGGACCCCAAAATGAACCCCCGGCAGGGTTAACGGCTTCAGCGAGAAATCCTGCGAGTGAACCTGTGGCGCTGGCGGCTGTTGGGCGTCGCTTCGGCTCGGTTTTGGTTGCCTCTCTGAGGGAGGGGCCAAGATAGACGTACATGCCCAGCGCCAAGGGAAGTCACCTGCGAGAGGAAAAGTCTCAGACATGGAGAGCCCGTACGAGGCCGGTGCCTGAGCCTCTTGCCAAGCTGGGGCATGGCTGAAAGTAGGACCATCCCCACAAGTTTATCACTTTTTGGTGCCCTGGCCACTCGCAGAAAGTGGAAACCAGTGCTTTTTCCAAAAGCATGCTCAACAAGCGGGACACACAAAGGGAACAAAAGGGAAACGATTGGTGCTTTTTTTTGGGGGGGAGTCTCCAAGTTGCTTCTCATTTTTCACAACCGTGTGCCAAAACCTTCAGCTAAAAACCCACATTTGTGCTTTTGTTCGAGGGTAACAGATTTTCGGGTTGTTTTAAGGGGAAACCCACAGCACAACCCTCATTGGGTCCAAGTCTCAATTTTGACACAGCCCTCGTTCCTCTCTTGGCCCTGGTCATATCCCCTACCTGCGCCACCAGGCCATATGGCACAGAGCACGGCTCGGCCACTGGATCGGTCAACTCCTCACAAAAGCGCTGGCTAGAAATGAGACCAATCTTGCCTACCTGAGGTAGACTCAAAGGGGGATTGACTTCCCAAAACTGGAACCTTGGGTTTGAGTCTGGCTTGGCGCAATCAAGAAGAATGATTTTGCTGGTCCTTATTCCCCCTGCTCGTTCACGTCTAACCCAAGGCCCCCAAAAGGAGGTTCCTCCAATGATGGCTCTGTCGCCTTGATCTCCAGAAAGGGAAAGGGGCCTGGAGGAACAACTGGCTTGCTGCGAAGCCATGCGAGGTGAAAGTACAAGACAAGGCGTCTCTATCGAGTCGGCCAAGGTGTGGCCAGGGATGCAAAGCTTGAGGCCTACGAGGAGCCAAGACTTCAATCCATTCTGAGGATCGCTGCCCCACTCGTTTCAGCTGTTGTCTCTTACAGAAATCGCTGGTCTGTGTGATACTTTTCGGCACAATGTGTGTATGTGCATGCGGCTGCCAAAGTTGATCCAAAGGGGAACTCCTTACTTGATAGCGCAGTTCCACCTCAACTTCAGTCCAGCACCACGCGCGAGCAACTCTCGCCTTGAGCCTGAGTCCATGCACTCGCTCCCTGCTACAGCAAAGCGCCGACAAAACAACAAAATTCTGAAGTTGGCTTTGGACAAGCGCGTCATTGCCGCAGGGTGAGGGCCGAACTCCCCCCAACGCACCCACGGATTCTTCGGAACCCCTCCCACCTCCTCTCCCTCCTGCAGTGCCAGCAGCACAGCCTGAGCGGTGAGGCAGGCGCTTAGTTTCCGGTCCATGTCGACCCTGGCTCCTGGCACAAGAGTTAACACAAATTGGCTATGGAAATCATGGAAACCAGAAGGAAATCTCAAACCATGACATACACACACACCCATACGCTCTTGGGTGGAAGCGCGGATTTGCCGGCAAAGGAACTACCCCGCCATAACAGAACGGCATCTCGGCCAAAAGCCAAAGGGACAGCCCGACTGGTCTAGATAAAGCATGGTAAGCGGCTTGTTCCTCAAACCCCAGTTCGAAGTAGAATTGTGCTTGGAGACATGCCCAGCCATTGCCGGTTTGCCCAAACGACTGCTCGGAAACCACTGCAACACCAAAAGCATGCTGCGTTGATGTCGAACCACCAAGCAGCAACTAAGGAAGCAATGCCAAGACATGTCTTGCCGATCAGATTGAAGCACCACTCTGCACTGCTTGCAAGATACTCAAATGGCCGTGGGTCGAAAATGGGTATCGATTCTGGAACCCTAGTACATGGAACCAAGGACTAAAAACTGCGGTCCAATTCCTGGTGCTTTAATTTTGCCCCATACTCAAATCTAACCATGGGAATGCATTCTCATCCGGGACCCATCGGCGCACCTGGCTCGGTCTACCCGCTCATACGCCGCGCCTCGCGGCTTGGAGGTGCAGGCGGCGGCGAGGGCGGCTCGTCCTCGTGTTGAGTAAGGCCCGATCGGCACGAGGTGAGAGACGTGTGGCTGTGATCGGGTAACCCCAAAATGGGTTATTGACAAAAATATGCGGTCTAATTCCTGGTGGTTTAATTTTGACCCATACCCATGTGGCGCTCTGTTTGAGGGGAACCCTTTTCACCCGGTCTAAAGGCCATGGGCGGTCAGATGTCCACCCCACGAATGGTTGGGGCATCGGTAAGCCACCCACTGTGTACTTCAGGCTGTGTACGGGCTAAGCCGAAGAGAACGACTGCCCACTACGTCTGTCACGTCCGCAGCTCTGGTCAAACAATGGCGGCATGGAAGTTCCAAAGTTTAGCAAGGTTGCGTTGATGCTTTTTCACAGGGACCGTCCAAAGTGATCAATGGCATCAACCCAGCAAATGCTCAATTAGAGCATTTGCATGCCATGTTTGATGGGTTCAAGCTTTCAGATGTAGCTGGAGTGGATGTACTGCTATGTGCAAAAACCTATCCAGCCCAACGACATGCTGGTCCTCAAAGTTTCAGAACACTGGTGTGGTTTGGCGACTCATGCCTCTTTCAGCCCGCTCTGACCCCCAGCGCCATAGTGTCATGCATACGGTCGATTCCTTTTTCTGCATAAATGGTGCAGGTGGGCAGAACAAGTTCATACTGGAGCATTCGCTTGGACCTTTCGGATACCATCCGCTGGAACCACGCGGCAAAGGCACAAATGATTTAAGCCGTTGAGTGATCAGCACCTGCAAAAAACCGTCGCGCCAATTTTGCGGCAAGCGCGCCAGGCAAGCTGGCGGAACAACGCCTCGTCACTCGGGAGGAAACCAAAGCCCCTGGACGCCCAGTTCTTAGAACCTTCTTACAAGGGCTTCTTAGAAGGGCTCTAAGAGCTTCTAGAGGTGAACATCTTCGGTTTGTGAGGCAGATCAGATTGCGTGACATGCTGCTAGGCACGTGTCACCATCACCGCAACCCATGACATGCCTTGCTGATAGTGGGCACAGTGACAGTGGATGAGCGTCTTACTTAGGCAACAATGAGAATCCCCCATTTGGCCACGTTGAATAACAACCCTTTTCGGCTGTGATGTCCTTTCCCAGCGTGTCCACCCAGCTACACAAGCTGGCCTGTCCAAGCCAAACGGTGTGTGGCTTTGTTGGTCAGCCTATTTACCCAGCCTTTCTACACACTCAACTTCAAGCGAGTGAATTGGCAATAGATCCCAAGCGCCTTCCCAACAGGACTATTCTTGAGTATGGTTTGGCATCTGGATCCCTGGGGTGCAGTCCCCAAGTGTTCAACCTCGACTCCTGGTCTAGGCAAATCACTAAGATCTACATTTCATTCATTCAACAAAATGGAATCCACAAGTAAGGAACCTCCACAATAGTGCTGTTTGCCAAGACCTGGCTGACCATCGTCGTGGAAAATAACCGTGGCCACTCAAAAAAAGTGGCAACCTAAAACCACATGTTTCACAAGGCTCAATAAGAGTGAAACAAACTACCCAAAGAATATGGGTGTGCATGTTTTGTTTTGAGGGTACCCTTTAAAAAGTTGGTTTGACGGGAAACCGCGCAAGGAAAAACGCAATTTTGGGAGTCCCCAAAGAAACACACAGCCGGTGGAACATTCGTCCTCCGGATCCGCCGCCCGGGGAGGGGCCAAAGGTACGGGGGGCGGCCGAGACCTCAAAGGGCAACGGCCGCATGTGTCAAAAGTACCCAGCATATGTGTCACGTTGGGTTGATGTGTGTTTTCGTTGGAATATGACTGGGGAAACAAAGGGTACCTCAAAAAAACACCCAGCAAAAGCGAACCTTGTTGAGGGTTTAGGGAAGCACAAGGGCCACAGAATTCGAAAGGTTGATGCAAAGCTGAATCAGATATGCAACTGAATCAGAAAGTCGATGCATCAAAACCATGACAAGTCATGGCCCAACAGCCCAACTGGGGCTCGGTATTTAACTTCCCCTAAAGATTACGCTTTGCGTAGATGTCGAAGATTTCTCCAGGAACACGGACTTCTGGATCTGTTGAAGAGAGCTTGGCAAGTCTCACATATCGAGCAACCGCTGGAACTTGTGTATCTGGAAACTGCCCAAAAGGGGGAGGTCTTCGCGGAACACCCAAACCCAAAGCCAGGTCTTTCACCCGACAATGTCTTGCCCCGATTCCTCGTACGCCCTAAATCCCACTCCAGGGTAGCCGCAAACGGCAAATGAGTTGCTACAGTTTGATCGAAAAGTTTAAAAGTCAAGGCATGACCAGCTCAGAAAGGGCTAGACGCCCTACTCATGCACCCCCCCTGCTGTAACAGGGCCTTCTCATCTCTACCTTCTCCACATTTTACTTTCATATTGCAGTCCTATTGATGCGACAGGGAAAGGAAGGAGGACTGTTGGGATCGCATTGATCAGGGCACGCCCAAGGCCCCCCCCAAAAAAAAAATTGTGAGAAGCTTGTCGACCTGACAGCAAGGGTGCGGGACGTGTTTTTTTTTATCCGAGGGCAACGTTAGACATGTTTTGTTTGTTGCCCAGGGATTTGGTTCCACTGACGGCATTGTTTGCGGGGCCTGCACAGCAGTTGTCATTACACATTTATGAAGGATCGTCCACAATGCCCACTAGCTCCGCAGGAGCTTCTCGTTTGTCGCTCCACAGAGGGGGATGTTTGATTCCCATGCTGAGAGGCTCGCATGGAATCAAAACAAACAGCGAACACAAACATCACACACAAGAACTTTGTGAGCTCAGCCGACATTCCCGGGAAGGCTTGAGGAAAATGGATCTAATCAAACGAAAGCCCTCTCCGGCAGCAGTAGACATTGGGATTCCCTGTCGTTCCCCGCTTACCACTTGGTGAATACAAAGAACATTTAACCATTCTTGCCTGGCCTCCTGGCCTTCCTCAGGGCTACGCTTACTTCAGGCTCAATTGAAACTCTCTAGGATTGCTAAGCTATTCTACGATCATAGAACCTCAGCTGCCGGCTTCTCAGTGTCTGGTGCCTGGCAGGTAATCGCAGCACGCATGCTCGAAACATGGGTAACATGGGTCACTTGCTGGGCAATGGTGCCATTCATAGAATCCGCTCCGCGGTGTGAAGCCAAAAATAAAATAACACGCCGATCCTGAAAAATATATATATATATACACATATTATGCATGTCTGCACTCATGGCACTTTTCTCATGTCGCACCTATGGATTTGCCACCTGGGCCCTGTCAAGCCAAAATGGCTGAGCATCTGAATCTGCTGTACATGGTTGAAGCCAAGCTGTTTTCTTACTTGGCAGCGCAGGTCAAGGCACCCAAGGCTGCTCTTGCTGCGTGGCTCTCCTCTTTAGCGGCAAGCTCCTTGCATGGGTGTGAACCTTCTTCCGCGCGCCAGCGAGCCGCGCCTCGCTTCTTGGCCATGTAACTCAACCTTTGCCAATCTGCTGCCCTTGCGCTCTCCAGTTCTTGTTGACGACCTTCACACCTCGTCCAGAGAGAGGGAACCAGCCCTGCCTTGAGCTCGTATGGATGTAGGTGCCCTCCGTCGTCCCTGCGCTCTGGCGCCAAGGGCCTCCTCCCTGATCTCCGGCTCCGGCTCTTCCTCCGCAGGAGTAGATGATGATGAGGATGATCTTGACGTTGGCCCCGACTCGGCCCCCCCCCAGTCCATGCACTTGACCCCGATCGGCTGCAGGTTCTTCAACTTCATCTTCTCCTTCTCAAGGATGTTCCCATCCTTGAAGGCCGTCTTGCTTGACTTCCGCATAAATCTCCAACCCCAACTCCTTGAACTCGTCTCTGAGCATGCCATGGGCCTCGCGCTCCGCACTGGATTCGAACTGCACCTGCTCGCACGCGCATGACCATACCTCTCCACGGCCCACAGCTTGGTACCTTCCGGCGATCATCTTCTTTACGCTTGCCTTTTGGGATGGGCCAAGTCACCAGCCAGAAGGGCCTCCTCCGCCTGAGCGGCTGCGCCAACGACTCCCAGGTTCCCTTCCACGGTAAGTCCCACAAACGGTGGCTCGACATTCACTTATTTGGGGCATCAAGTCCTTGATGCAGCGCTTGTCGTGAGATGAAAGCCGCCCGGACTGCTGCTACGACGGTCTTCTTCCACAGCATCAAAAACCGTTTTTTGGCGTTGAGCGGCTCGGCATTCCCGCCTCTCTTGGTGAACTTCGGCACCCATTTCACGCGAGTGTGGGCAGCTATGAGGGCCCCTGCGTTTGCTGTTTTTCGTGTTTTGTGGCTCGCTAAGAGAGAGCACTCCTATCATCCCAGTTGACAGATCTTAATGGAAGTCCCCCACAGATGTGGAAGTGAGAGTTCCTACCACCATCTCAGCTTAAGTGGCTCCACCCACCACCGGTCACACCCTCTAGAAGTCAGACTCTTTGTGGGTCATCACAAACATTTGCTGGAACCACAATCTGGACGCCTGTAGCTCACAAGCTACCTGAGCTAGAGGATTCTCATACGGGGGCTTGAAATGAGGGTGTTCTATGCTGAACTACTTGCAGACCGCTGGTCATATTGCAAGTAGATCAGGAAATGTGACACTGTGAGTGGGGAGCAGAGCAGACTACATATCAGGGATTTAACTTATTCTACTTGCGCCCTCCAATAGGTCACTAAAACAGTTGCAGATACGTAGATACCTTCTGGTCGAAACCATCTGGTCAACTGCAAAAACATGTTCAAAAAACAAGTAACGATGGCCCATAGAAATGTTCTGCGCAGCTGTGAAAACATTGTCTTTGGTGGAACAAACGCACGGGCACACACACATGTTATATCCTATCCTACCTATCAAAGTACCATTGAGAGTATGGCGCGCAAGGCGAGGCACGGGAATACTACACTCAAACGGGGCCACAACCAACATGATTAGAATCTGCTTGTTTGATAGAACTGTGGCCTCAGTGCAACAAGCCAAGCAGGGAAACCAACCAGAACCCTGGCCTATCTTCTGGGTCCCAGTGATCCTGAAACCGAGGGGAAAAACGAGATTGAACATGTTGGGCTGTTTTTCCGCCCCCTTGAAGAGCTGAGTGCAGAGCTACAGATGCTGAGGGAAGCTCTGAAGAAAGGGTTTGATCAAAGGTTTCTGTGAGAATCCTTGCAACCCAAACAACAACCTTTATATTACATAATATTATTCCCTCGTAGCCGCCCTTTCTGTTTCATGCGTGCTCCGAATTGCTGCTGCTGAGTCGCCTGCATGCAGCAGCATACCCAGAAGACTCCTTGGTCAGGTGGTGAAAGATGGACCGCCAGGCTCTTGACCTTGATCTCTTCCCGATGAGTTGGTAGAGGTGTGAGACTCCAACCGCTGATCCTTGAGATGACATTGCCACTCCTTCCCCCGAGAAATCGTCTCCGCCGCGAAGGTTCGAACTCTTCCAATTTGTCCGCGCCGCCTTTTCTCCTAGGCCACTACGCAGAAGCCTCCTTGCGATCTTACGCGCCTCACGTTGTCTAGCTGATCATGATCATAGGGCTTGTTTAGGCGAATGTTGGATTCTTCTCAACGCCTGTTCAAGTCAATGATGTCCTCCACCGCGAACGACCATAGGCTGGCAGCGATGATGCTGGCTGTAGCTGCAGTGTCTGGCTGGCTACTTCGTCCATCTCGCCACGACATTCTTGTGCCCAGTGTCCGATCTTTCCGCACCTCGCGCACGGTCCGCAGCCCCAACATTTCCACATGTGCCCGAGCTTCTCGTCCATCACTCGACTTGCCCTTGCCCTTGCCCTTGGCACCCAAGGGATAATATCCACGGCCATTCAGCTGGTCTTTGATGGCTTTCGAAACTTCTTGATAAGTTGCCCCTTCTCGAGCTTCCGCAACGTCGTCCTTATCATATTTTCCCGAAGTCTACGTCGCCACCTGATCTTCTTGCACTTGCCGGAGCATCACGTAGCCCTTCACCTCGGTCGGCAGCTCAACTCCTTCATCTTGCTCGCTCAACTGCTCCTTGCCTTTCCTCGCGCTTTATAGATGACTCGTTCAGAAGCTTTAGGCATGGCCGTCCCCAGCTCTTTCAGCTTCTCCAGAATCGCCTCAATTCCTCTCGCTAGGCGATCACCTCCACCGGCGTCTTGTAATCAGTGTTAAGCAGCCCCAGCCGTCGCCTGCCACCTGGCTGTTGTTTGCTTATTTCTTTGCTTGCTCGCTTGCTGGATTGCTTGCTTGCTTGCTTGCTTGTTTGCATTGCCTTGCCTTGCCTTCCTTGCCTTGCCTTGCCTTCCCTTGCCTTGCCTTCCCTTGCCTTGCCTTCCCTTGCCTTGCCGTGCCTTGCCTTGCCTTGCCTTGCCTTGCCTTGCTTTGCTTTGCTTTGCTTTGCTTTGATTTGTTGATTGTTTTGTTTTCATCACGAACAGGTATCTCGAAGTAAGGTGTCCCCCTTCGGGGTGTCTCTGTGTGAACTAGAATGATATACGGGCACTAGTCATATGCCTCAAAGACAATCCCTTTTAGCCAAAGTGGATCCCTTCAACTCAAAGCAAGAGGGCGGGCATACTCGCATTCTTCTAGCGGCAACACGTCAAGCGAAAGATCCCGCGGGACCTCGCGGCTGGTCCAAACCCACATGACACCTCATCGGTGTAAGTGTCCTGGTTTTAGAGCCGAGCAATACGGCTAGCAGTCTGGAGCGAGGTTATGAAATCGTACGAAGGTGCACAAGCAAGCAAGCAAGCAAGCAAGCGAGCGAGCGAGCGAGCGAGCGAGCAAAGAAAAGCAAAGCAAAGCAAAGCAAAGCAACAAGCAAAGCAAGCTGCCATTGGCATCCAGCATTCTTGTCATGCAAGCACACTGGACATGGTTGCTTGGCAGTTTTCTCATGTTGCAACGAGCGCAGTTCGCAGCCTATCCCTTCTGATAAGTATTGCCCGGAGTGTACAAGCTATTCCCTGGATTTACGCCCTAGTCAGAAGGGCTATCTCCTCCTTTGTGGGGCAGACCTTTCGGGAGCTAATTTTTTGGGGGGTAGCCTTTGTTGGGGGGTTCAGTAAAACTTTTGGAGAAACCAAAGGGAACCCTCCCCCATCTTCCGGAAGCCCCGAATGAAACCCGTGCCTCGCGCCCTTCGACCGGCCTCGCGGACTTGCACCGATTTCAAATCCGAACCCGCCTTGGTTTGCACGTAGGCAGAGAAGGCCTCCTGAGAAGCGAAGTCATGTCATCGGATTCCGAGAAAAAGTAAGTACTGGTATCAGGGCTGGGGAAACTTCAGGGGGAGTCGGGGGAGTTTGATCTGATTTGTATGGCCGCGACTACTCCGAAGCTACAACTATGCATTCTTGACAGCTTGCGGTAGATAGTGCTTGATAGCTTTGGCCCATCCAGCGCCTGCAACAAATGAACGACTGGTTGACGCAGGCGAATTTGCTGCACGTTGTGGCGGCTGATTAGTCATGCTTGTGTGCACCTTTCGCGGGCACGAGGCTGCGCTATGTGTTGAAACCATTCAAAATGCTCCTATGCGAAGCCCCCAAGCCTTTGACAGGGCATCTTTCACATGGTGACGATATGTGCGGGCCCACAAGCAGCGGGGGAGGTTTCCTACACCACCGGAGAGAACTTGTGCCATGCTCTCCTTCCCGGCCCTCCGCTTGGGCTGACTGCTTCGACAGCACTGTGTTTGCGCTTGGAACACGCTCGCGACGAGAAAAAAACAGAGCCTTGTACGTGCTTTTACCAAGCATGTGGACTGTGAAAAAGGCTATGGCCCGTGAATACAATCTTAACCCCTCAAGACTCGAAAACCCGCGCTGGATTGCCCATCTAGGATCTGCGCTGCTGAATTCATATCAGCCCTGTGTAAGAACTCTCCTCAATCTTGTTGTGCCCTTTTTGGTGGAACCGTAGCTGCCAGCCTTCAGTTGCAGAAAAAATCACTAGCAATGGCGTGAAAGTGCCTGTGCCTCACAGACCATTGAGCCCCGGCTGGATCAAAGGTCAAGGCATGTCCAAACCTGCCCCCGGGTCCAAATACTTTTCGAGCTCAGCCACGAAGCCGACACGACCATCGACAACTCCGCGACATGTGTTGGCTCCTGGAACTTTGCCCTTCGGGCCTCTCTTTCGGACCTGTCAGTCTGGCGATCCACAAATCACGCTTATTTTACGCGACTATGTCCTATTCTTTGTCTTTGGTATCTTTAGGGCAATCTGTGGGCGTGAACATGTCTCAAACACCGCTTGCACAACTATATCCGCCGACTACAAACTACAGACGGATTCCTCCTCATTTGTTGCTTCTTGCGAATCTGGACTTGAGGGGGGTGGCTTTGTACCACTGGGTGGTCCCAGACACCCCTTTCGTAGATGCGGGACACAGTTGCGCGAACCTTGGAGTGTTCAATTCCCCCAGAGCCAGCATCGTTCTAGCAGCCCGAGCACCACCAGCGTCACTAGACAAAAAAAAGGTCCCTACTGAAATGTGCAAAAGTCGTAGAGGAAATTGCAAACAAAAACCTGCAGGCATCCCCAGCTAGGAAAAAGAACATGAACAAAAGAACAGTTACAAAGCTGTAAGTGATGGGCGGGGGTGCTCAGAAGAAATCAAACTCTGTTATTCTGCTTCTTCCTGTGCTAAGATCACCGCAGGACTTGGGTAGGGGCCATGGTTGCCTCCGTTTGTGCAAGCTCTCTGGGGATGCGTGCAGCTTTTTGTTGGCAACGTCCTTGTTACTGTTGGGGAAGGCCCCTACTAGTAATACAATCAAGCTCTTTCCTGCGACTACGGCTACACGTGCTGCGCTTGTAAAACACGCGTAAGACAACAAATCGTTCCCGCACTCATCTCCGTTCATTGCTCGTAGCTGGCGCGCTAACTTTCTACTGCTGGTCCTGCGGCAAAGAGACATGAAGCAGCCTGGTTAAACGACAATGTAAGAAACCGGACCTGCGATGTTAGAGTCACATCAAGTTGACATTCGACCAATGCTTAAAGGCATGGAATGTAGTGAAGGGGGTGCACCTATATGGCTGTGGGTCAAAACCCTGCACCCCTGGTGAACCTCAAAATCGGTGGCAAATGGATGTCCCTCCACCCAACGGAGCCATTGCCCCATGGCCATATGCATCTGCTCAGTCTGAGCCCCATGAAGGCCATCCAAGGTTTATGAATAGGTCTTGCCCCTGGATAAGTTGGCAAAAGTAGCGGTCGTTCGTCGGCCACATTTCTGCTCATTGCAGCTTGAACGGCGACGGGGCTTCTGTGCATTCCCTAAATATTTGCAGGTGAACTCAGAAATGGCGTCCATACTTTCAAACCAATCTCATAATGCAGATGTCATTCTTGACCCCGGGGTGGGTTCAACGCTCGGTTTTACTTCTTGGATAGGATGTCTAGGGTGACAAATCGCTTTCGGGAACGGGATATGTGCTTCCTGCAAAGGCAACAAGGCTACCATTCGAAAGGTTCTTAGCACTTTCGAAGGGGTTCGCAGAATTCTGAGAACCTGGTGGTTCGGCTCTGATGTTTCTAGGTACAGCTATCATAGAAGTGACATGTCGAAAGATTGAAGGGACAAACATTTCGTGGCAGCTTCAGGCATCGCAAGATCTGCTCTTCGATTGACAGTCAGGCATGAAGCATTGTTGCGTAGTTGCGCCAGTGAAAGGAATTGGACGCTGACGACGCGTGTCATCCAAACCACAACTCGAGTTCCGCTAGGCACAGCTCGCAGTCAAGCTGATTGGCTCAGCATTTCAGCCCGTGCCTGGAGACAGTCCTACATGTGGAATCGGACAAACCCTATATTGAACTCAATAGAGCACCTGATTGACGCAGTGGATACTCTGAAGAAACGTTTACGGTGAACCACCCAATTCTGATCTCACCAGCGGTAAGAATGAACGCATGGATCCATTGCCAACACCGAGACCAAGCCAGAAAAAAACAAACCAAGCCCAAGCAGCTCCCAGGTCAAAGAAATTCCGAAAGCCAATAGGCAGCTTGGTATGCGTAAGCTCTCCCGCATGTAAGCCAAGTCTCAGCCTTAACGTCCATCGCTCACCAAAATTGAACATGTCAAGTTGGGACTCCGGGATGCTTCCAAGCGGTTGGTGTCCTTGCTCCTTTTCCACAAAACACACACATGCAGGAAGTGCAGCACTTCAAAGCCCCTTGCGCATCCGGAATCTTGGATCACGCGTGCGGCCGACGGCCGGCTGAACCTTCCTTGCGCGGCTTGAGCTGGGCCCCAGGCGCGCGGCTGGCTCGGCTCTGACCCTGGCACGAGGCGACCAGCGGCGGCCGCGGAGTCCAAATGGCTGTGGGTCAAAAATAGGGTAACCCCAAAATGGAATCCAGGTAAATGGAAACATGGACTAAACAGCGGTCCAATTCCTGGTGGTTTAATTTTGACCCATACTCAAATCAAAAGTGCCTCTAAAACTCGGGGGATGCTTTGGCCACGTTTTTCCTCGGGCGCTTACAGCAGAAGGATCTATCATTCCCACAGAGCGAAAGCACAATGCGCCCTTGTGCCTTTAACCTCAGGGGCAGCGCCAAAGCCGAAGCTTATTAGTCGGCGTGTCGTCATGGGTACGATGGACATAGTTGCTTGGCCAGCATGGGTTTCAACTCAGCTCAGTCGCAATCCAACGAATCATAGCTTCGTACTAGCTTTCAGCCCAAGCCAAATGGCAAGTTTCAGAGATGGCCATCGGGAGAAAGGAAGAAAGTCTGGCGGTGAGGTCGGCTATCTGTGGCTCCAGGCACTTTGAGCATGCGACTCCGCAGGGTAGAACCTGAGCTCGCATCCCATGAAATCTGTCAAATGGCGGGGCGGGGGGGGGGGGGGGGCATTAGGTTGGGTTGTGCGCTCTTCAAGAGCCTGCAGGAAGTGAGAGTGATTCAACTCGCCATCTTGAAACTGGAGATACCAAGGATTGTGGTAGACCAGCAAGGTCAGGATTTTCTTTGCAACTGGCATGACCCAACGGAAGCTAGGAGGGCTACAGAAAAGAAGCTCGGGAACAATTCATAGCTTGGTCCCAAGTTGAGTTCGCTGAGACTTAAAGCGGCCAAGATCTGCCACACATGAGAGATCCAAGACGGATTGAAAGCTGTGCCGGCGCCCAAAACAGAAGCATCACCAGGAAAGCGCTGACAACTGCCCCAGAGTGCCAAGAGTCAAGAGAGTCTTAAAGTCTTGAGAGGGGGGTAAGAGAGTCTTGGGAGTGTCTTAAGAGAGCCTTAAAGAGAGTGCTGAAAACGTTGCGTGATGCCTGACAAGGAGTACGACTCGAAACACGGCTGGCAATCTGTGTGTGTGTGCGCTTTTTTACATAGCTCAGCAAAGCCGCACACAAGCAAAACGCACTCTGAACCCAGACATCGAAGCAACTGGCGCTGGCAAGGTGGGGGCATAAATCCCCAGCCCAATCCAATCATCAGTTTCAGCCGCCACTCTCAGCAAGGGCTAGCTTGTTCGGTTTCATCTTGGTGGGACTGGCTGACATAGGCGGGACGTAGACAGCTCGCTGCTTTTGATTCATGCTGAAACCATGGATGGCACCCTGCAATAATCCAACATGTAAACGGTGTGCCTTTTCTTGGCAGCATGGCAATCAGGAAGACTAGCTCGTGTTGAACTTGGCACTATGATCTAGGTAAGTTGTGAGATTGTATCTGAACCCTGATGTTATTCTGCTTTGCTCCATGCTAAAATCCAGTGCAACACCATCCAAAGAGCAGCACATCACCGACTTGTCATGTCCATCTATGCTAGTTGCTAGTCTATATGGCTATGAATTTGAATGGGGAACCTCCTGAAAAGTGGTTGGTGGACATAAATCCCCACCTAAATGATGTCCACCCAAAGGGTCCCTAATTAAAATTCATACCCATATTTGTTCCGTCTGCTTCTCAGCCCGGAAAGTTGGACTGTGGGTTTTTCGGGTCACGAGGTGTGAAGGCATTGAGGCTCCGAACTCCGAAGTCTCCTCGCACGTCGCAAAGCAAGGCGCCCAAAGGAAAGAACACATTTGGAAAAGTCAGGGCTAACAAGGGAGGGGGTCTTAAGGGTCTTGGGGGTACAAATGCCACATGTCATGGAGCACTCCTTATGGTGTGCTTGAACCCGGCGAAGTGCTGAGGGCACACTGGAATCCAACTGATCGTTTTATCGACAAGAGCAGGCGCGCAGAAAGACATCAAAAACATGCATGCATGCAGAGAAACATGTACACATCATACACGCATGCATAGTGGTGCATGTTTGCATGTTTGCGGGCACTCATGTGTGCATGTGCGCATGTATGGCATGGTTGCATCTGTGCACGTGTTGGTGCGCGAATGTATGCAGGTATGCATGCATGCATGTGTGCATGTATGCGTGTATGCATGTATGCATGTGTGCATCTATGCACGTCTGCATATATACATATATACATGTATGTATGTATGTATGCACAAAGACACAAAGGAACCTGTGTCTGTGTCTGTTTCTGTGTGTCTCCCTTGTTGTCTCTGTCTATCTGTCTGCCTCTGTCTCTGTCTCTGACTATCTCTGTCTCTGTCGGTATGTGGGTGTGTGTGGATATGTGGGTATATGGGTATGTGTATTTGTATATGTGTGTATGTGTGTATGTAAGGTGTTTTTTTTTGCCACGCGCTGCTCGATGCAGAGCTGAGCGCTACCCTACTGCAACTGTACCGTGACCAGTGCCGCAGGCCAGAGGTTTTTCTCCGTAAAAGGAAAAGGTTGAACCACAGTTGTCCCCTAGGCAGTTGAAGTCTCTCGCAGTCCCTATTCGTTGAGATCTTCGGTGACAGATTATATGACAGTGCGACATCACTGGGTGTTTCTCGACTCTTCCCTCTCCGTTGCAACTTCTCATCCTCTTGCATGGAACGAGGCAGCCCTGGCATTTGCTCTCTCGGCTAGCATGTTGATTTGCTCTTGGTTGTTGGCGTCAAACACTCGGTCCGGATGGATGTGCTTGTATGCATCTTGCAAGGTTTCAATCAGCCAATGAGCTCTTGGTTTTCCTACGCGCCTGATATGTTCTTGTCTCGGAATATTGGTGTGCGGGTGGAACAGGACCTCTCTCATGGGGTCAGCACTTGTGGCTCGGAGTATGTGCCCGAGCAACGTAAGTTTTCTAGATTTCCATTTTGCTGAAAGGCTCACATGCGTGTAGTTGTGTGCCTGCGTTAGCGTGTTTACGACTCTTTGGTTTGTCCATGTTCGATCCAGATGCGTGGGTGGCACATTCAGTATTCGCCTGAGCATTTTATGTTGCCAGGCATCTAGCCTATTCTGTTCACTCTTTGTTAGCTGTATTGTTTCAAGACTGTAAAGCAATTTGCTTATCACAATACTGTCTAGGACCCTTATTTTCCAAGCGATAGTGGTACGAGCTTGTGACCAAAAAATCCGTAGTTGGTTGGCAGCTGCTGCGGCTTCTCCGATTCGCTTGATAACTTCTCTGTGATTGTCTACGGCATCTGTCAAGGTGGCGCCCAAATATGTGGCTTGTGTTTTTCGAGGGACCTGCGCGCCATTCATGAATTTTACCGAGGATTGCTTTCGATTGATTGTCAGGTTAATGCACTTTTCAAAGTTCAACGCCAAGTTGTACTTGGCAGACTCCACTTGGACTTGCCGGAGTAATTTGTTTATTGTTTGCGTGTGCGTTCCAAACAGTAAAGTGTCGTCCGCGTATAGGACTTCGGCATAGTTGATACCATGGATGGGTTGTAGTTGCTTCGGCGTGTTAAGTTCAGTTTTTATATCTTGGAAAATGGCCGTCATAATTATGCCAAAAAGGTAAGGGGATAAGGGGCAGCCCTGCCGTATGCCAGATTCCTGCCTATGGAATGCTGAGCTGTGCTCACCTTGGACAACTCTGAACTGCGCGTATCTATAAATGTTTCGTACGAGGTTTACCATGCGCTCTGGTATGCACAGACGTTGGAGCACCTTTACTAGTTTGCTTTGGTCGACCTTGTCGAAAGCTTTTTCCCAATCCAGTAGCGTTAGTGTCAAATTGGTACCCTGTCTCTCCGCAATATCCATAAGTCGCCTAGCCAAGAAGATTGCCTGCGCTGTCGACCTTTTCCTTCGAAAACCATATTGCGTTTTGAGTAGCCATGGTTCCAGCGCTTCTTCCAGTCGCATCTTGGTCATGGCCGCTAAGATTTTGTAAAAAGTCTGCAGCAGAGCAATGGGTCGGTAATTGGCTAAGTTTGATGGATCTCCTTTTTTATAGATCGAAGCGATATTTGCACGGTTAAGGGAATCAGGGTACCGCTCGTGCATGAGGATTTGGTTGTAATGTGAAAGCAGGCGCCCCCTATTGACACTGCTCAGCCATTTCAGCAGCTCCGGTGTGATTTCGTCTGGCCCTGGCGTTTTGTTGGTTTTTAAATTCTTTATGGCAGTGTCCAATTCATGGGGCTCCCATTCGGTGGCCGTGACCTGTGCTCCCACGTGCGATAACGGACTTGGTTGTTCCGGTTCGTGGCCTTCTGGTTTCTTCCATTGGACGCTGGACAGGTATTCCGCCGCAGCATTAACAAAGTTTTCCTCCGTAATGTAATTGCCATCCTTATCTTTGAACTTAGAATGTCTTGGCACAAACTTTCTCCGTAGTCTTTTGAGCCCGTTCCATTTGTAGCCTTGCGCGTCTATTTCCTCAAGTTGGTATTTGATGTGCTTCCGCCTGTCTATGCGCACTTGCCTGCGGATTTGCCTTTCCAGTGTCTGAGCCTCATTTCGCTGATTGTTTTCGTTTTTTGCTTGTTTCTCTTGCAGTAGCTGCCAAGTCTCTTCGGAAATATACCTCTTTTTTTGGGATGGGGGGACGCGGGTGAACGTTTCGTTTGCTGCGGTGTGTATCACTTTTGCCCAGATTTGAAAGGCGTCAGACTGGTCAATGTTATTGTACGCTTGGAGCATTTCTTGCACATGGTCATTGTAGTGCGTCAGTTGCTCCACTGTGGGTTGTCTATATCTGGGTGTCTTTTGACACTGTCTTTTTGGTGTTCTGGCAAGCTTGACTCGGATCTGCGCAATCAGCAGGCGGTGGTCAGTGCTAACTGCATGTCGCGAGCTTGTTTCCACATTTGTAATTGCGTTTCTCCACTTGTGATTGACAAGGATGTAATCGATTTGTCCAAAGCGGTCAGTCGTAAACGGAGGTGTGTAGTTTGGTGTTGCGGCATTGCGGTGTGTAATCAGTTTGGCCAATGGCTTTTCAAACCATGTGTTGGTTGCCACCAACTCATGCTCCTGACAGAATGACGTGAACCGAAATCTATTGTCTTGTTGATTGACGCTGAGTTGGCTGATGTTGTCCGTGTCGTTCCGGAAAATGTGGGGACCAATGACATTGCTTTCGTGGCCTAGCTGCTCCATAAGTCTCGCGTTGAAGTCTCCCATGAATATGTTTATCTCATGCTTTGGCAACGCTGCAGCAACGTGATTAAGATGGCTGTAAAATTCGTCCTTTTCTTGCTCGTTGCGTCCTGCATGTGGGGCGTACGCTGCTACCACATTGGTTTTAACTGGGTATGTATTAAAAGTCGCAAGTAGCGTTCTGCCATTCACTTGTTGGACATTCTGCTTGTGCGCCGTTAGCTGCGGACTGTACACTATTGCTACTCCGTGCTTCTCAGCATCTAGATTGTACAGCTCGATTTCTGTAAGGCTGGGCTGTGGCTGCTGTCTGTGTTGCTCCCGTTTTTGGTCAGCGCGTGCTTTCTGATCGTGCGTTATGTTTGTGGAGAAGTAAAAAGTGTACCCATCATGAACTTCCACTGAATTTACATTGACCCTGGTTTCTTGCAAGGTAAGAATGTCTAGCTCATGTTCTTTCATTAGGTGGATGACTTTTTCCCGCCCGGAGAAATGCGTGATGCCCCCATCGAGATTCAGAGTCGCTATTCCAGCGTGTCGCCACTGCAGCTGTGCTGGCTGGTTAGGATTTGGATCTGGCTCCTGTGGTTCTGGGCTCTTGTTAGCACGCTTTTGCGCATTTGCGGCAGGGTATTCTTGAGCTGTTTCATAAGTCTCACAAGGCACAGCCTCAACCTTGTGACACTTCCTCAGTCTTCTGTACTCCCGCCTTCTCAGTGCTCGTCGGGCTCTGCGGTTTGCGCGTCTCATTGCTTGGGCTTCATCAGAGCGTTTGTACTGGCGTGGTTTAAGATGAGTGCGGCTTTCTTTGTGTGAGTCAAAATGCCCCGGCTGAGGCTTCGGGTCTTGCGCCGCTTGGTTCCCACTGCAAATATTGCTGCGGGTCTCCCACCGTTCCCTGTGGGGGTGGGCGCGCGCAGTGAGTGAGTGTAAAGCATTACGGTGTCTTTGTGTTTTGTAGATTCCTTTCTGCTTATATTCATTTCTCCCTGGTTGCACTCTTTTTAGAACTACTTTTCTCTTCCCGTCATGGGAATGAGTATTCGGTGACATGTTCGGTGACATATTCGGTGACATATTCGGTGAGATATTCGGTGACATATTCCGTGAAATATTCGGTGACATCTTCGGTGACATGCGTCTCACAATTGACTCTTGTGTCGAAATTGGCCCACTGGTATGACATAAGGGGGTAGCTACGTACTTATGGAAATGGTCGCCCCTACCGTAGCAATGGAAGACCGTATGCGACACAATTGTTTTGCCGCGGTCTTGTTTACGCTGTATTGTTGTCCTGTACAAGGTATTGTTAAAGGGATCCAATGTGTACCTAGCCCTTTTACGCATGCTCGGTTGTTTCCTGTTCTGGGCGGACCTATGTGTCTGGCACTTACTACGGCACTGGTTGCTACTGCTACGACGTAGTCAGCTCCATCGTTTCAGGAGTCTGTACAGGTGCTCGTTGTACGTCTTTACGTACTCAGTCGAGCCGATCGCCTGTACATCCATGCGGAACGGCAGCTCAGATTTCATCGCTTTCTCCATTACACTGCCGTGCCCGTTCTTCTTTCCCTTTCCAGCACCCTTGGTAAGCCCGATCTGTTCCAGAAAGGAGCCTTCCGGGTTCAAGGCCTCGCCCATCGTCATTCCCTCGATCATGGACAGCGCCTTGCCCTTGCCTTTTCCCCATCCTTTTCTTGCCATCCACTGATACTCATGCTTGGCCAGGGTGTCGCGGAACACTTTCTTGTCGAACTCGTCCTGGTTGATGTACACGATGCATTTCCCATGCAGGTGATCTAAGGCACACCACACTAGGTACCGCTGAACATCTCCACGTGTGTCCGGGGTGTAGACCGTGTTGTGCTGCCAGTCCTTCTGCCAAGTCAGGTCTGGACGCAGCTCGGAGACGGTAGCCATCGCTAGCTTCAGGGGGACGCTCTGGATCTTATCGAACGTGGCAATCATGGGCTCAAAGACCAACTTCCCGTTGACGTCCGCCTTGTTGCTTCGGTCAGTCTTGAGAGTCTTCAGCCCCTCTTGTTGCTCCTGCGCGATCCATTCGGTCACCCTGTTGCTGTGCGTTTTCTTCATGTGCTCGAGAAAGACCTGCCGGGTCCGTGCATCTCCCACATCGACCACGCAGAACGGAGAGAGGTTGCGACCCATGTAGTTGGAGTAACTGAATGCCCGCAACTTGTCCTCACTGATGCCTGCCTCCATGGCGTAGTACTGCACCAGCGCTTTGCGGTGGGATTCCAACATGTAGTAATCCTTGTTTCCCTGCGGTTCGTATTTCCACCAGTTTTTCACTGAGATTTTGCTGCTGGCCTCTTGCCGCTGTCGCTCGGCCGTTTGCCACAGCAAGTACCGCACTTGAGACTCCTGTTGAGAGAAGTCGTCCGACAGAGATTGGAGATCTGTCATGATGTCTCCCATCGTCTTCGACTGCACCAGCTCTTCATCAAAGTGTGGTTGGTGCATTGCTTCTTCACTTTTGGTCCTCTTCGTTTCTCTTCCAGGTGGCGGGGTGTACATGCTATGCCTTTTTGGTTGATCAACTTCCATCGCTGCCATGACTCCCACTATATTCTGAAAGAGTGACCCAAAGGTCCTAGATCCTACTCACTGCTCGACCCCAACGGCTGTATGTAAGGTGTGTGTGTGTGTATATGTATGCATGCATGTATGCATGTATGGCGTGGTTGCAAGAATGCCAGTATGCAAACGTGTGTAGGAATGTATGCATGCATGCCTGTATGCCATGATGCATGTATGCCTGTATACATGTATGCCTGCATGTATGTATGTATGTATGTATGTAAGTATGTAAGTATGTATTCATGTATGCATGTATGCATGCCTGTATGCCATGATGCATGTATGCCTGTATACATGTATGCCTGCATGTATGTATGTATGTATGTATGTAAGTATGTATGTAAGTATGTATGCATGTATGCATGTATGCATGTATGCATGTATGCATGTATGCATGTATGCATGCATGCATGCATGCATGTATGCATGTATGCATGCATGCATGCATGCATGCATGGATGCATGCATGGATGTATGGATGTATGGATGTATGGATGTATGGATGTATGGATGTATGGATGTATGGATGTATGTATGTATGTCTGTATGTATGTATGTGTGTGTGTAGATAGGTAGGGAGGTAGGTACGTAGGCAGGCAGGCAGATTGGCAGGCAGATATTGGCAGGCAGATTGGCAGGCAGGCAGGCAGGCAGGCAGGCAGGCAGGCAGGCAGGCAGGCAGGCAGGCAGGCAGGCAGGCAGGCAGGCAGGCAGGCAGGCAGGCAGGCAGGCAGGCAGGCAGGCAGGCAGGCAGGCAGGCAGGCAGGCAGGCAGGCAGGCAGGCAGGCAGGCAGGCAGGCAGGCAGGCAGGCAGGCAGGCAGGCAGGCAGGCAGGCAGGCAGGCAGGCAGGCAGGCAGGCAGGCAGGCAGGCAGGCAGTGCAGGCAGGTAGTTCGGTAGGCATGTGTCTGTCTGTCTCTGTCTGTCTGTCTGCCTGCCTGCCTGCCTGCCTGTCTGTCTGGCTGCCTGCCTGTCTGCCTGTCTGTCTGGCTGCCTGCCTGTCTGTCTGTCTCTGTTTGTCTCTGTCTGTCTGTCTCTGTCTCTTTGTTTGTCTGTCTATCTGTCTGTCTGTCTGACTGTCTGGATGGATGGATGAACGGATTGATGGATTGATGGATTGATGGATGCATGCAGGGGGCAGGTAGGTAGGTGTGTAGGTGTAGGTGTGCCGGTAGGTAGGACGTAGGTATGTGGGTGTGTAAGTAGATGTACGAGCCTATGTGTGTACGTCTATACACAATCATTCGCAGCACATGCCAATGTTGTTGTGCCAACTTGTAGAACTCCAACGCTGTGTTCCACAAAGCAAAGGTGCAGGAAACCAAAGCGTGTAGAAACATTTTATCCAAACATACAAATCGGCAAAGCGATGATTTGCCATATGTACAAATTGTACATACACACACCCAAAAACATGCAGTCAGTTGGCTTGATAAAGACTGCCATAGCATCCAAGCGCCAAAACATGAATCACCACAAACCATCGCAACCCAACCACACAGCTGTAGGGTCCCAATCGCTCCTGAAAACATGGATGCTGATCTTGTTGGGGGGGCCCCCAAAACGAGAGGGTTGCATTTGGTTTCCCATGGTTTGCCATAGACACGGGCCCAAAATGCACTCCAAAAAATACAAGAAGACATATTCCCGTCACCTGGTGCCGAGATTGGCCCACGACGACTTTGCTGCATGCTCGTGCTATTTCACCACTGGTCTGGTGAGCTGCAAAGGACTTGCTGTCTGCAATTCCCGCAGCTTGCAAAACCTTGCGGAAGTCAAGTCAATTCGTTTGGATGTGATTACAACCCAGGGCACAGCTTCACAGAACCAGCGCCCCAACTCAACACAACAAACTCACTATAGATATTTCGTGCACCATTCAATATGCGTCAACTGAGGGAAGTTCGAACACGACTACATAAGGCTCCGCAAGCTGACTATGCACTATTAAAATATTCGTTCGAAGGAGTGTATCATCTATTTGCATGTTCGTCAGCTCACATCAGCTCCTGAATTCCTGAATTAGGCACCTTCAACAACCTACATCACATTTGACTATCTACAAAAGTGCCGCCACAGTAACACACCTTTACCTGCAGCCTTACCACCACATTCCCCTCAATAAAGCACAACTCTGCAAAGAACAACGCAAAATGTATGTGTATATATATATATATGTATTGTCTACACACTGAGCAGAATAACATGCCCATCAACCACGGGGCATAATCACACAAAACACAAACACCGCAAGCACAACTTTCAGCACACACAGGCTCAAAGCAACATCACATCGGAAAACCACACAGCCAACAAGCCCCCCTCACCGCCAATCGCATTGAAAGACAAGGGCCCACTTTGGCCTTTTCACTGGCAGTCCGTCGGAAAACGGGCAAACTTGAACCATGCTCAGTTGCCTCCCCGCCTCCCGAGAGGGAACCGCTTCGGCGCCGGTGGTAGGTGCGGCCCAATCCGTGAAGAAATTCAGGACCGATCCTGCCTGGCATCAATCCAGCGAGAGAGGACATGAGAAGCTCATGAATTGAAGCGAGCGTTGGCCCATAATTGTACGGCCCCTAGCAAAAGTCAGCACATGCATTCTGATTCGCCTCATGCACTCATCTTCTTTACATTTCACCTGAGCTCGCCAGTACATACACACATAAAAACAAAATATATATTCCAAATGTATTTATATATTATATAATAAATTATATATATATATACATATGTAAAATACTTGGGTGGACCCGGCCCTCAGGGCACGCACACGGGTGGCAAGGGAGCAAGGCACGGGGGGGAGGGGGGGAGAATCATGCACCTGCATCTCCCTTTGTTGGACGGCAGTTGCAAGCGTGCGAGGGTGTGGATGTCCTGATTGTTTCAGGTCTAGGTCAGCTTGCCGTAGAAAAGAAAACAAGCGCCCTGGGCAATCCCTGCTCTGTGCATCAAATCATCAGATCAACCGAGTGCTTGCACCATGCCAGCACCTTGGAGGCAAGAAAACAGCTAAAAAATTGTCGGACATTTGTACAACAAAGGTGAACGTGAGAGTAACAGAGTAGCAGGACTATGGCTGGCAGTTCGGCTCAAGCTCCGGAAAGAATGCAGGTCGCCTGACGATCCCTTTAAGATCCTCGGATCACCTGCCATGTTGGGCCTGGTGGCATAACGCAGCTTCCCATGAGAGGGCCCAACTGTTGCGGCACGGCCTTGGTAACAACAAGTTGAGTTTGCGGGTCTCAAAGTCTGTGTAGCACATGTTGCAACAAGAGCAGCAAAGCTGGGCTGATGTTCCTTGCAACCAATCAGTACACAAAATCATAGGGTCAAACCGCTGGCAAACGCAAAGAAACCACAGTGCACGCGGACACGCTGTACCAGACACTGAAAAGGCAGGGCACACCTTTTGGTCTGGGACCTGTACTGTAACAGCCGGGTCCTTCACCAAAGAAAAGAGAGCTATGGGACGGCCAAAGTGGGCGCCTCCTGCAGCCGTCTAGAGAAGGAGGGCGGTGCTGGTGCTTCAGCTGCGCCTGCCGCCCGAAGGCGGAAAACCGCGGTCCCGGGCTTTTCGGGAAACCAAACAAAACGGTTGACCAATGTTCGATATAAACTGGTCATCTTGAGGCGAGCCACCCTGTGCCACATTGGTCACTGGAAGCCCTTTGTCCTGACTTGATCAATTCAATGGATGATTCCTTTGCAGGTGTGACTTTCTTTGCCCATCCCGTATTTTCTCTGGGGCTACACCGCTACCCCCAATTTCAGACATGGCCTCTTACAGGTGGAGTGAATCCCATGGATGGCGTAGGGCCATCTTTGGGTCTCAGCCAGCAAAGGACTTGGCGAAGCCCTCCTTGGAGGTCCATCAGTAAAAAGCATCCAAGTGAATGTGCCTTGATCATAAGCCAGGCATTCCCGAAAAAGGCTTCCGCTCTGCCTGCCCAGTCCAAGAAAGGCTTGAGGAGTTGCACTAATCGTCACCAGTCTTGGAGGTGCTTTCATACGGAGCCTTTGGGGATCTGCGTATCAATCAAACCACATGTGGCGCATTCGTCGGGCAATTTCAACCCTGGCAACATTGGCCGGCTTAGGCCCACGTGTCGCGAATTGGACGAGGCGAATTTGGGCTCCAAAAATGAGTTGGAACCCCCTACCCTCCCACCCGTTTCACATGGAACCTGACGTTCGGGTCCTGAAGACGTGTTTCCTTAAAGGGACCCCCGAACATCAGGTTCGCATGTGAAAAGCATGGGAGGGTAAATTGTTTGGTTTCCTTTTGGCTTGCAAAGGTGAAACTCACCTGAGGGTTCTTCCCAAAAAGACAGCCCAGGCAAATCTGAAGCCAAGCGGCCCTGGCAACGCGGCTTTTGCCACACACAACCCTATTCATGAAAAACAAAAACTGGTCCCATTGGTGTTGCCCAGCCTCGGTCCATGCGCTTCGAGGCGGCACGCGCCTGCATGCTTCGCAAGGAGAAGCCCGCGGGTTACATCAGAGCTTATTCAGCGGTTCTTACAAGGATTCTGAGAACCTTGCAGGGAGCTTGTGGAAAAACGCATCCCATTGGACAATCGTAAGAACCATATTTGCCGGAGTCGATCTATGTCCAATCAAACTAACCTGAAAGGACGCCTATGATGGTTTCAGCCGCTTCCAGCTTCAAAATACTGGCAAAAGCATGTCCATTGCACCCAGGGTGGGAGTTCTTTTAGGCTAATTAAGCCCAACTGAGTTCGTGGTGGTTTCGGATGGGCTTAGGGTTGGTTTCGGGTGGGCTTGAGGATTGGTATAGGGTTGGTGCAGGGTGGCTTTAGGTTTGGTTGAGGGTTTGTTTAGGGTTGGCTAGGGTTGATTTAGGGTTGGTTGGGGTTGTTTCGGGTGGGTTTAAGTTTTTTGTGGGATTTCTTTTGTGCGGGTTTAATGTGGGTTTAGGGTGGGGATGTATTTGCGGTTTGAGCTGGGTTTAGTAGAAGTTTAGGGTGGTTTAGGGCTAGTTCAGTGCTGGTTTAGGCTGGTTCAGCAGATGCTTAACTGCTGGTTCATGGGTTTAGGTCGGGTTTAGGATGGGTTTCGGGTGGGTTTAGGGTTGCTTAGGGCTTGTTTAAGGATTATTTTGTTTGGCGGTTTTAGGGATTGCTTGTGCCAACACTCTCCTGGCAATTATGCTAGCTGAGAATGTGCAACCGCCAAAAGCCACAAAAGCACGCAAAACAGATCTCCGCGAAAGCCAAAAAGCGGCCACAGATGACCGACCTTCCACGACCCAGCCCCCCGCCCGCCCCGTCCCATAGAAACCAAACCCACACTGAAACCCACAGCCCCAAGACGCCTGCTGCGCCAGTTGCTGGGCGGCCTCGAAGCCCCGCTCCATCTGCTGGGCCACCTGGTGCCCTGCGCAAGCCCCGAATAGGGAGTCCCAGACACAGGTAGCCAAGTGGAACTGGGTTCTTCAGAATTGCAGGGGAAAAGGGAATCCATGTTCGTGGTGTCCGTGTACAAAGCCCAATGCACGGAGTGGTGCATGTCCTTCCCTTGTACTAAACCCGCCAACCAACCAACCAACCAACCAACCAACCAACCAACCAACCAGCCAGCCAGCCAGCCAGCCAGCCAGCCAGCCACCCACCCACCCAAACACCTAGCCACCCAATCACCCAACCATCCAATCACCCAACCACCCAATCACATAATCACCCAATCACCCAACCACCCAAACCCCCAACCACGCAACCCAACCAACCCATCATGACTTTGCATGGGAGAAAATGTTTAGGCCACGTGATCCTTTCTCGCCCATTAGGACAGCCGATCAGCCAACAGTTTCAGCGACGCACAAGCCACCTATAACAACCACCCAACCACTCAACCACCCAACCACTCAACCACCCAACCACTCAACCACCCAACCAACCAACCCATCATGACTTTGCATGGGAGAAGATGTTGAGGGCTACCTAAGCCTCTGAATTCAAATGTGCGTCCAGGAATCCGGCAGGCAAGCAGAGCAACCATGGTTCAACCAATCAACCCCGCGGCCCAATCAGATCAACAGCAAACCCCCCTAAACCAGGTCCAGCTGGAACGGGCCCAGCCAAGACACAAAAACTATCCCGTGAAGCGGCCATCAGTTTGCCTGATCATCGAGCTTACAATTCGCGACTGGCAAGCTTTGGCCTGCGACGTTGCTCACTAGGCCCACCAGGGTGTCAAAGTGGCTGCTGTCCTGCATGAGTGCCAAGCATGAACGCTTCCTGCATGTCTACCGATTGTGAGATCAACAAGACTGGCTGAGCTTGCACATGGTGTTGCGTGTTGTACTTGTTTGCCAAGGGGGTGATGAATTTCAAGTTACTTGGATTGGATTGCTCCATCTTGTGCGAATCTGCGTTTTGAGTTGTTCCGCCGTGGCGCTTTCAGCGCCTGTCCAAGTGTTTGACGGCGGCAAGTTGCATGGTTGCAAGGTGTGCCTTGATCGCATAAAATGTTTCATGCATCAGGGTCCGGAATGCACAACAGAGCACTCAGCCCTAAAAGCGCTAAGTCAAGTGGAAGCAAGGTGCTGAGCAGGTGTGTTGTTGCGGAGGTTGTTGGGTTTGACGAATTGGTCAAACCATCTGGGCAGAAGTATGCACACCAACTGGAAACTTCCCGGTGCCCGGCAACCCTTGTTCTCAAAATGGGTTCCATCAACACACCACGTTTGCTCTTCAGGCCTTGCTGCGAAAGTTTTGAGTGCTTTCGTCGGCTTGCTTTCAGCCAGCTTGCCTTCCTTTGGCTTTCACTTCAGCCACCAATTCCTCGGCTTTCTCATCTGGATGCTGGTCAGGATACAGTCTACTTCCCACATGTTGCAAGTAAACCAACCGCGCACCCACGGCAAATCTCGGCGTTCCGCCTTTTTTGGAGGCTTCAGGACACCAATAAATCCGATGGCCAAACTTCACGAGCACCTGGGATACGCAATGCTAAGTTGATAAACCAATCAGAAGGGTACAACCATTTCATATGGAAAACACTAAGGCCCACAGCGTACCCCTCTCAAACCAACCTGTTCAAAACAATCAGAACCTATGGCTCCATTTTGGGGTGGATGAACATCCATTTGCCACCTATTTTGATGTTTATCAGGGGGTTCCTGGGTTTTGACCCACAGCCATCCGTTCAAAACCTCCCCCCCCGCATTTGCTACGCTCCACTCGGTTCCGCCTCGGCCCCGCTGTGCTCGGGGCCATCCTGGCGACGCGCGACCCAAAATCTGTCCATGTCGTAAATGGGTGGCTGAAAAACCGGGCTCAACCCCCCAAATGGGCATCGGTTCTGTCTTTTTCGCTGTCCTTTTAATGGACCCCAAAGTAGCACCTCAAACAAACAAACAACAAACACAAGGTGGATTAAGGCTTGCGAGGCCAAACTTGGCCAGAAGAAATTCATCAGCTTGATGGAGATCTCAAACCCGGAGTCCAGGTTGCCCACTCCCAATTCCCATTTGAGTGAGCTACCTCTGACTGCCGAATTGAGACCGGTCTATCCTTTGGCCACACGCGAGTAACACTCCATGGTCCATACTTCGGCTGGCGCTGTGTGGCGCGGGACTCGGTCAATTCCCTCCTTCCACAGATCCTTCGCTTCAGAACTGCACAGAACCGCTTCTCGCCGGAAACCGAAGATCCTTCAAAGCTGCACCAACACCAAAAAAATCCGTGTTGTTGGTTGCTTTTAGGTTTTTGTTTTATTTTTTAAAAATGAAAAAAAAAAAGTTCACTTCTTACCTGCGTGCCTGCATGGCATCCGGCCCCATGTCCGGGCGCACCGCCCGCGCCGCAGGCCTCCCAGGGGGTCTGAAACGGAGAGGAACATGGGCAGCTTTGGGTATTGGGCGCAAAACTCAGTGGACATGGTATGAAACAAAAGGAAGCGCGGCCAAAGTGCTGCTACCTCTTGAATTTTGGATGGTTCCTCCGAAGTGGCTTGCAGGGGTTTCCGGCTGCATGTCTATTTACAGTACCTTGTTTTCGGGGCCAGCCAACCCAGGCTTGTCTAACTGAGTCAATGGGCCAAAGGCTTGCTGCAAGAACGTATTCCTGCCGCCATCGGTTGGTCGATTGGAACCTGAAAGGTTGTGGAGCAAAAGGCCCTTTTGATCTCAAGGCATCTACCCTCCCACCGATTAACATGGAACCCGACAGGGAGTCCCTTTAAAAGGAAAAAAGTGTTCCAGGACCCCCCAGGGAGGCTCCATGTTTTATTTGTCGGGAGGGTAATACCCCTCATCGCCTGCATTTCCGGAAAAATCCGAGCTGCATGGTTCGTCCGGGGTCCGATTCGATAGAAGCCGCGAGCCGGGAGAAGGCTGGATTTGCCATCCGTTCAGAAGCCGCGGCTTCAGGTTGATCTGCCTGGGGTCCCGTCAAACCAACGGAGCGTTGGGTCCAAAACAAATCCGCGACAACCGGCTGGCTAAAAGCTGGCGTTACCATCTCGCAAACGGTCTCAGTCTCTGCTCACTTCGCCAGAAATCAATCCAAGAATCCGGAACTGTACAGTAAACCATCAACTCCATGCTTGGCTTGACCCCTGCTTTGTTGTTGTGTATTGTGAGGTTTGTTCTCAAGGAACGCAAGCCTCAGGTCGTCTTGCATCTCAATGATGACCGTTGATTGATTCTCAGGAGTGTTCCCTCAAACATCAACACACTTCTTCTCGGCAACATCAATACATCAATATCCAATGCTTGCTATATCAATGGACGGGTGGTGACCATCCTTGCTGTGTACTCTCCAGGCATCTTGCAGGCAAACCATCTAAGCAACGGTTGCTCTCAAGAATCCACCGCCACCTCCCCACGCCCAAAGTGACGCCCTGCCTGACACCGCCACCGGGACTGAAGGCATTCCTCAGGAGAACAGATCCACGGTCCACGGGTTCTGGTGTCATTTCAGCATCTTTGCTATTCCCTTCGGGCGACTTCCAAGCTGCAACCTGCACACACTGCTTGCATTTGAGCCTCCTGAATGGTGCTGGGCAGTCGAACAAAAAGATAACCATCTGCATTTGAGAGTCCCGACTTAAAACATGGGTGTGCACACTTTGGATTGAGTGTGGGCTGGATTGGTGGAAGGGTTGGGGTGGTGTTGAGGTTGATTTACATCAAATAAGCCTGTACTCAGCCAGGGCATCGTGTTCATTCGCATGCGAGGCGAGTTTGAACCACGGCAGGACTTGTTCGGCTGGGTTTGGGAAGACTTCAGGGGGTGGATTTGGCTTGGCCACAAAATCTGAAACAACATTATAAAAAAAGAGAAAAACAAAACAAAAAAAACATGCTCCATGGTGCAGAGGCTCCCCTACCACCAGAAACAACACGCTGCACAGTTGCTGGTAAATGGTAAGTTAAGACTTCTGCAAGGAAGAATTCAAACATCCTGTCACATGTGGTTGACGGGCATCTTCTGACCTAGCTGGCATCCAATTTGCTGCACTGGACAGGCGTTCGCGGCGTTCAACCAACCTCATGTGCCCAGCGGTTGCTTGCCCACGGCTGAATACAAGGGCCATTCTCTGTTACAGTGCAATTGCATCGGGTTTTTTTCTGCCAGCATCAATTAAACCTTGCGTGCCAGTAGTGGGGGGGATTTGCCCCACAACCCCTAGGTATATAGCAACATGCATGATGGACTTTCAATGATAAATATTCGTCAACAAATCAACAACAAAGAATGAGTGTTCTCCTAGGTGAACTGTGCCGGCCAAAGTGACAACTGAAATACTCAACTGAAACACGCAATATTTCTGTGAGAGAGGCCAGACTCCTTGGATTCTGTGAGTTGAGCTGCTCCCAGCAAACATGAAGCACGCCCAGCTGAACAATGATTTGGGTGTCTGACAATAGGGGACGCCACAACAGGTCTGTTTTCTTTCAGTTTCTAGGCCATCTGATTTTGGACACACCCATCCGATCTCCGTGTGTCGCTTAGCCGAAAGCCGAGCCTTGCCCGAATGGCTCTGAAAAGTATGGTTAAAACTCCTGTTGTGAGTACCACTCTCGAGTAAAAGGGCGCTTTGTCCATGGCTTTGCCAACGGCCAGGGTAACCCTTCTCCCCTGAAACTTAAGAAAACAGATCGACCCTTAAAAAGGCTTCTCGGAAAGTACAATGACGGGGTTGCCTCCATGGACCCCCCCAAATTGGATTTGGTTTCCTTATTGTTTCCAAAGAGTGCCGATTCCCCAAGAAAGGCGCATGCTCGGGGTTTGACTCGAAAATATGGAGCCCTGGCCATCTCTGAAAACATGAGCGCCCGGCTGCTCAAAGAAGCCCATGCCCGGTCCTGAAAGTCGGCCCCGGCTGTTGCACCAAAGTTGAACTCCACGAGTTGAGAAACTTACAACTCACCAAGTGCATCTTAGTTTGGTGTCGGATTGTGACTCGGAAGCAATCGAAATCAGGATTTCCCCAGAGGACCTTCTTGGGTGTGCTCGACCCCCCAAACAAGCTCATAGTTTTGCACGGAATGGCAAATGCTGGTTCTTAGATTCTCGTTTCAATCTCTCGCGCGGAACTCATTTGAAGCAGTGATGCATAGCTCATAGCTTGGTTGGATCGAGAAGACGGGCCTCGAGAGATCGCTGCGCAGCATGAGAAAGGTGTGCTGTCAATCTTGCCTGGAGGCAATGTGCTAGTGAGTTCTCTTGTAAATGGCTTTGAATGAGACAATGGAAGTTCCTACCAATCCAAGAGCAACTCCAGCTCGCACGATCCACCAAGCGGCCAACAAATCTGAAATAATGGGCTAGAACACCAACAGAAAACCAGCGAGTCATTGCACCTCCCTCCCCTCAAGCCCCCTCCTGCAGGGCTGGAGCCAGGGCTCGGTCGAGAGAACCCTGGCCTTAGCGTAACCCGCGTGGCATCTAATTGGAGAAATCAGCACAGCTGGTGCAACCGCAATGGTACTTCAAACACAACCTGACCTGTTCGTGTTTATCCCTCACCCTCTTGTCACTAAGCAGGAACGGCACCATTCTCCTGTCATCCCGTCAAAGCAGAACCGGAGGTAGCGCGAACTCGGCGCCTTCGAAGGAGATCAGTGGTACAAGGCTGGCTGTGAGTATGCTGTGGCACCCCAACAGCAATCCGCCGACCCCATGCCTGGTCCAGAATGGACCATGCTTTCGGCATGGGGGCGGTGTGTTCTGTGTTGCTTTTGTTGATATGCTTTCTATAAGTTTAATGTGAATATGATTATGTAGATATATATATATATATATATTTGTATAACCTATATGTCCCTTGGGGCGGCCCTTGGGGCTGGTTTCTACGTCGGTTCCGGCTTCTTCCCGTAGTCTTCCGTAGGCTTCCGGCTTCTTCCAGTAATCTTCCGTAATCTTTCGGCTTCTTCCAGTAGTCTTCCGTAGTCTTCCGGCTTCTTCCCGTAATCTTCCGTAATCTTTCGGCTTCTTCCAGTAGTCTTCTGTAGTCTTCCGGCTTCTTCCCGTAATCTTCCGTAGTCTTCCGTAATCTTCCGGCTTCTTCCCGTAGTCTTCCGAAATCTTTCAAGCTTCTTCCCGTAAATTTCGCGATCTTTCGGCTTCTTCCCGTAGTCTTCCGTAATCTTCCGGCTTCTTCTCCTAGTCTTCCGATACTGTTTCGGGACCAATCAACGCGCGTGTCCTGGGCTTTCGGGTTCTTCCCTAGGCTTCGGGTAGTCTTCCCCCACCCCTCCGCCCCCCCCCTGTGTCTGTCTATGTCTGTCTACGTATCTGCATCTGTCTTCGTGTCCGCGAAGACCCCCCCTGCCCCTGCGTGTCTGTCTGTGTCTCTTTGTGTCTGTCTGGGTCTGTCTGCGTCTGTCTTCGTGTCCGCGAAGACCCCTTGCGTGTCTGTCTCTGTCTCTTTGTGTCTGTCTGTGTCTGTCTGTGTCTGTCTACGTATCTGCGTCTTTCTTCGTGTCCCCCCCCCCGCGTGTCTTTGTGTCTGTCTGGCTCTGTCTGCGTCTGCCTGCGCATCTGCGTCTGTCTTCGTGTCCGCGAAGACCCTCCCCCCCCCCCGCTGCGTGTCTGTCTGCGTGTCTTTGTGTCTGTCTGTGTCTGTCTACATATCGCGTGCTTTCTCTCGTCCCGGGCCGAAATTCTAAGGTGTGTGGGGGCGGCGGAACCAGGCCGCAGGCCATTAAATAGCATGGAGCCAAGCGGCGATTTACCTGCGAGGACTCTAGTTGTCCGGTCACCCAACATGTTTGAAAGACTTCTGACGCCAAGCATCAACAAGTGCAAACAAGCAACTTAAGATTTAAAGGTCAACCAGAGTCACTAGACCACCCTGGTGTAAGGATTCCGTAAAGAACTCCTGGTGAACGGATTCAGCAACGAACTCCGTTAGAAGCGCCCAAAGAAACCACTGGATTCTTGTGGGCTCATGGTTTGGTTTGGCTTTAAAGTCCCCCGCCCATTCTAATTTGTCTCACTCAGGCTACCCTGCCGAGGAGACCCTTCGGCGCGCTTCGCCTCAGAAGCTTCAGACCAAACTCGGAGGTGCTTCGTTTCGAAGCCAATTGGCACGACCCAAGAAAAAACGGTGGTTTTCCCTGAAAAAGACCGGAAAAAAAAGAAGAAGAACAAAAAGAAGGAGAAAAAAACATGCGCCAGCACCTCATAGAACTTCCCCCTCGAAACTGCTTTGGCGTGTTGCGGAAAAGTCTGAAGGGTCAGAGACCGGCTGTCGGCGCCAAACAGGAGACTCCAGCTAAATCACGGCGTGCCTAATCCAGACCACAACCCCTATTAAATTAAATCAGTACTGTGGACATGGCCCTGGCTGGCTTATCAAGGCGGGCGTCCATGTGCAGATCCGACAGGCGGCTTTCTTCGTTGGATGCGGGCAAATGGAGGGAAACTCGAGCCTTCAAAAACTGTTGAAGGCCTGGGATCAGCAAGGCGAGCAAGGCGCGGGTTCGACGGTAACAGTGTTTGCAACTCGAGCCGCTCTGCTACGTTGTGTTCGGGAGGGGCGTGCCCCCACTACTCAAGATTTGATGATCCGGTGCGGGACATGGAGGATCGTACCTGTACACTGCCAGCGGTGCTTACTCCGATTGTGCTCCTCCGTGTTGATCTTTTGGGGCAAGCACGGGTGCTGCAATTCCAGAGCATCCAGTGGGCGCAAGTGCTCCTTTCCACATATCGCCTCGTGATCCTCCAAGTTGCAATGCATCAGCGTGTGTGGCTGGATCCAGGGGCTTTTTCGGATTTGCCCAGCGTGCCTAACTGGAATCTGCCCGCACTTGTGATGCCATGCGTTAGGAAGTGGCCTGAGGAGGAGGTAAGCCAGCTTCTGCTGACAGTGTACGCCCTCATCAGCCAGCAGATTTCTCGGGGCGGATTCCGGCTGGCGCGTGGCCACGCAGTATTGACCAAGACAGGATTGCGGCTAGAGCTGTTCTGTTCTTGTCTTGGTCTTCAGGCAAGGGCTGCGCGGTGCATGCCTCCACTGACTTTGTTGGATGCAGTGATGAGCTGGTATCAGGAGCATCAGTGCAGCGCATAGCAGGATGACGTCCGTGATGCTGCAGGGTGTGCCTAGCGCCTCGTCCACTTGCTGGTGGACTCTTGCCAGCGTGCCTGCTGGTTCAAAAAAGTGTCGATTAGAATTACCAAGTCATAGGCCTTGAGCCAAGGGATACGTCGTGCATCGCCTGGCGGTTCAAATCCGCACGGCGTGCAAACTGTACAGGTTTTCATTGTGCCAGGTTTCGCCTCTGTTCGGAACGATGTGCTCTTGAATTTGATAAATGCCGCGCCCCCTGAAGTGCTTTCGGCTTGCGTAGTGTGGGCTCAGGGCGCTGCAAGCAGTTGCGTCTGAGCGATTCGGACACAACCTGTCGTCATGGCTTTTGGCATTGAGACCGTGATGGGCGCATGTTGCCTGCCAAAGTGCGCATCTGACACATCGTCGGTGGTACTGGCTTTGCGGTTTAGCCTACCATGCCTTTCACGCGGACACCTCAGCTGACGCCTCCGACACGGACATACGCGAAAAGAAGACAAAGAGCTTTGACCATGGCAAGCTCTGAGCGAACGCCTTGGACATGACTTTTGCTCTCTCTGTCTTTCCATCTCTCTTTTTCCGTTTAATACCAGTCAAAATCTCGTCCAACTGAAAACATCACAGAGATGTCCAACCTTTTCGTTCTCAGGCGACATGCCCCTAGTACCTCTTAGGCTGCCTGAGCTTGCCTTTCTCTCTGAGAAAATGGTGAGCGAAAATGGTGCCCGTTTCTGGGGAGGATACACCCTTGTGCACATCAACTGGAACTTCGAGAAGCCAACAACCATTTTGATCATGGGCCAATGTGTGAACGTAGAAACATGAACACAAAGTGTGGGCTCTCAGATAAACATACACGCGGGATACAAAATAATATTGGCTTGTTGACAGTACCTCATCATGCAAAACATATACTATTCCTGATTGCTGCGCAACCCTCAAAGGGAGGATTGCACTTTCTGTGCATTGGCTGCAATGTTTGGCAGGGCTCCACTCAGATCCTCGACTTCAAGGAAATCTGCGAAGGCGGCTAGATGAAAGCTTCTCCCTCTCACAGAACCTGAACACTTGCGCGTCCAGGGTGTCCATCTTGTTGATTGAAACAGGCTCGCGCTCCCTCCATCTGCGCACTGGAGCTACTGGGCATGTGCTGGCAGCAGTTGTAGGACGGCCTTGATCATTGCGCCACAAATGGCTCCTGTTCTATGGAGCGAACCGCTCGCTTTTTGCGGTACCTCGGTCGCCACATCAGGGCGAGTCTCCGACTGGTGAAGCCCGTCGGAGAGGGCGTCAACATCAAACAGAATGGGCCCTCCTTCCTATCCTGACAGCAAAATCCTATAGGAAATGGTCTTCCATTCAAGTTGCTCGGGTTCCATAGTATAACAATGGTGGGACCTTTGGGATAAACGGAGGGCCGGGGCAGGAGATGATGCCAGAGCCAGTTTCGGAACTGATGTCCAAGGATGGCCAAGGTGCTAGCGACCCTGCCCTAAGCGTTCCCCTCCCTTGGCAAACAAACCACGGTTTCTTTTCGAGGGAAAAAAAACTCAGACAGAAAACAAACACAACTCTCTACAACAAAATGTTGCTTGTACAAATTGAAACCCCCCCTCGGCTTTAGAAAGATCAAACTAAAGCTCCAGGGAAAACATTAGCTTTGCTTGCATAAACAAACATCCGCGCGCTCCATCCAACGCTTTTTCTATTAATGCTGCCACAGGCTTGGACAGCACAGCTGACACATCTGCTTTTTTTGCCGGAAGCCACGAGGTCGTTTTCCCCAAGATGTTGTTTTCGGCTGGGCAAACCCCGAGGTCCCTGCCAGCTGCGCCCACATGGCGTCCGGCAGCTCTGCTTCGGCCTAAGTCTGGAGCAATCCCGGAGCTGTGGTTTGCCTTGTGGTGTTCCTTTAAACCAAGGTTGAAATGGGTACCCTCAAAACAAAAACAAACACACACACACACACAAAAGAAAGCCGAAGCACTGACTGATCTGAAGGGCTGAGTCACGAGTTGGGACTGTACTTTCTTGCAGTTCCCCGCAGCGAAAACCCTGCTCACGGTGTGTGAATCTGCCTTTTGAAGTGACACATCACAGAGTCTCCCTGACTGTTTGTCCCGTCACCGAACTTGCGCTTCACAGCAGCAAAACACATTCCAGGCTCGATAGTTGGGTGTTTTCCCCAAGGTTTCGAATAAACACGTCTTGCCTCTCCATTACTGGTGCTGTACGGCATCAAACACACATCACCATCCCTGGGTTAGCTCGATTGGCCTCCTTGAGCCACAAGTCCGTGACTATGGCCTCTAGGCCCCACCGATCTGGATGTCGAAAGTTCACTGTGGGCACGCGCCGAGAAATCGGTCAAAACGAGCCTCAAGGCGGGTAAAGGAATCCAAACCACTGGCACGTGGAGGCATTGTTGATGGCAAAATGAGCACTCTGAAGGCCAGAATTGCCAAAACGGCCTGCCAGAACACATCCAGCAAATGCAAGACACGACAACGTGTCCGCATGTTGAAAGCGAAACATGCGTGTTGCTTTAGCGCAACAAACCATCCCAAACGTCAAGCCCATGAGGCTGACATTTAGCCTAAGAAAACAGCTGGCACCATCAGCTCAACCTCAAGAAACCCGAATGACTCTTCCAACTGGCTGGTGCTTGTTCGTGTTTTTCCGTCAACTCACGAGCCGATGCTGAGCTGCCGCACCACGGGGTCGCCGGACATGACCTCGCGTACCTCTGGGGCCCATGGATCTCCCACCCATGGGGCCAGGAATCCAACGGTTGGTCTCCTAAGGTTGCGGGATATGGACAAGCCGGTGGGGCCTCATGGTGCTTAGGACTTCACTTACATCAGGAAAATTGCCGCAAGCGGGACGATCCCAGCGTTACATCTGTGCGCATACTGGCGTTGGTGCTCTTCCGAAACTGGCGCTCCCCGGCACAGTCCAGAATTGATGGACCCTCCAAAGCTCCAAACGAAAGTCTTCATTGCCAGGATTAAGCAGCAGTCAGAGTAAGTTCCCTGAGCCGTTTGTGTTTTTCGTGCCGCCAGCTGTAAGTACGTTTCACAGAACTTTAGGACCTTTGCCTCCTTTTGGGTCTTTATGGTCTTTAACGGATCTAAGAAAGCCACCATGCCGGCAGCAATAGAATGGAAGCGTCTTTCTCGTCCAATATCGAATGTACAAGCGGGGAAAGAGACCGGCTCCCCTCCTCACGCCACCAGGGTGAAAGTTGATGGCACGACTCCCCGAACAAAAAGGGACGAAGCCAAGCTGGGTCGAAGTGTGCCATCCCACCTGATGGCTAGGGTCCATCCCCAGGCACACCCAGCGGCAGAGCTTCTCCTCCCCATGCCCAGCCAGCTCAGGCTGGGCAAGCCTTGCGGCTAAAACCAATCGAACACAGAACCCACGTCCAAACAAACAGTTTCATTGACAGGTGTGTCTCAAAATGGATGGGTTCTGGTTGGTACCCCTTCCAAAAAAACCGAAAAGAGTGCCCGCGGAAAAAGACACCCTAAGTGCCTGCTGTTTGTCCTGTTGGTGTTTGAAGGAATGTTTCGATATGATGTTCTGCACTGTGGTTCCCCTGATGCATGGTTTGCATCTTAATGTCGCGTGTCGTGAACAAACTATTGCCCTTGAACCTGCAAAGAAACGTGCTTGGTATGCATTGCGTTCCCTCCCATTGGTAGTCCAAGGGTGGCGTCTAAGTTGTCAGGCGCGAGCACACACAGGCTACACGTGCGCTAGTGAGAGACAGAAGTTGAACCCTCCAACCTGCAAACCAGTAACATGTTTTGTAAAACCTGCGTTTGGCCGCTGCCCCGAGCTCATAACATCCAAGCCAAAACGGACTGTTGCCAGTCAATGCGAGCGGCTGGCAAACTTTGAGCTGAGACTTCGCAGAGGCAACCGCTTCGGTGCCATATGAAACCCTGAGAAGTATCTAAGCTGCAGGACATCTATAAGCACATCCACCAAAAGGAAAACCACGAACGATCATGGTAACGAACGAGGAACGTGGGAGAACGGAAGTTGCAGCGTCTGCCTTTACGTTGGCGATTTTTGGGGCTGATGCAGGTGAATCTGAATCCGATTTTGCTAAAATAGCGGCACGCTGAACGCAGGGGTGAGTCAAACGTAGTCTGATTCTTGACTTCAATATGGCTTTGTCTCGACATGAAAAGACACCGAAACATGTCCTTTCGCGTTCCCGTCGCAATCTCAAAAGGGGTTCCCCAAAAAAGGACGCAGGATCCAAAAAGAAATGCGGGATCAAAAAGTAGTTATCGACACCCGGATCACGGGGTGCTAAAACGCTGTAATGTACGTCAGGCAACAGCGCACGCATTTCACGGCGCCAGCTTCAAAATAGCACACGAACCAGTTCGAAAATCGTAACTTTTCAGTGCAAGCGCAGTTCTGTTAGGGATGGTTTACGCTGATCTTAGGGTTGGTTTAGGGTGGGATTAGCGTGAAATTAGGGTGGGTTTAGGGTTATTTGCGCTGGGTGGATTTTGATTGGTTTAGGGTTGGTTAGGGTGGGTTTAGGGTTGGTTTAGGGCTGGTGGGCTGGTTTAAAAGGGTTGGCTTCAAGGTTGGTTTGTAGGTTGCTTTTGGGTTGGTTTTGGGTGGTTGGTTTAGGCCAGGAGACCAAGAGGCCAGGCGACCAAGAGACCAGGAGACCAGGAGACCAAGAGAGCAGGAGACTTGGAGACCAGAAACTGGGGGGCTAGGAGACCAGGGAACTACAAGACCAGGGGACTAGGGGAGTAGCAAACCAGGGCACTAGGAAATCGAGAGACCAGACTAGGTCTCAAAAACAGGGGGTTGATCCCCTAAATTTATATTTGCGTTATCCCATTTTTGTTAATGCTCATCCCCCCCCCCAAAAAAAAAAAAGAAAAACGACACTGGCCACACTACGTAAGAGTTTGTGCCTCCTGTTCCACTTCTTCCTCGTCTTGCCGTTTTGTGGGCTTGTTGAAAGGTAACTGAAAGTGCAACTCTTTGGCAGGCTCGTTTAAGGCACGCCCAACAACCACACCGGTGTTTACAAGTGGACAACCGGGTTTATTTGGGTTTTGTCCGCGTGCGCTTTTTGTTTGGTCACCGGTGTGCGCCCCTGCATGTCATTTGACGTAACGCTGGTTTCCTAGGCATCATCTTGGACAAAGCTAGAAGTTGTCCAATGGAAAAATGATAAACAAATCAACCTGAAACCAGCCAGAATCCTATCGATGTTGAACCACGCTGCCCTCCAAAACATACCTCAACAAGGTCCCACAAGTGTCCCAAAATTTTACCTCACAAAGATCCCCAACCCGCTGTTTTCCCTCAAAAGGTCCCCGATCGCTTCGCATCTCCGCCTGCCGTGCTGCAGCTCGCAGGCCCAGGACAGCTGAACCTAGCTTCGCTTGGCAATCGACCGCGCACAGAGCTCCCTGCAAAAAAAGACACCAATCTTCCCCACGCTTTGCAATAGAACGCGAACAGGCGGATGAGGATGGATCTGAATTGGGGACAATTTGGTGGACATCATTTACACAGGGGATGTAAAACACCGGCAATCAGTTCGCTCCAGCCAGTGCCCGGCGTTCCCTCTAGAGACCTGGCTTGTGAAGGAAGGGGACGTCTCCCCTCCAAGACGCCTGCGCGCACACCCGGAATTCCATGAGGGTTGGCGCAGACCTCCATGAATGTCGAAGCAAACCACCAAAAGTAAAGGGCGGGATGGTTTTCCTTGTTGCTTCCTTGTAGTGTTTAGGGCTTCAAAATTTTGTCAAAAGGAGACTGACGCAAAGGCGGACAAAGACGACTTGCTCGTGGTGTGTTGGTTGGTCTAGGTGAGACTGTTTCAAAAAGGATGGAAGCTCACGAGGGTGTGACACGACTCGATCCCGTGCCGCTATGACCGATTTTAGGCTTTTAGGCTTTGGCCACTTCCGAGAGTCCTCGTTTTGGAGATAATACTGCCAGTGTCACTGGATCGACCGTGTGTCCGCATGAA